TGGATACAGGGCCCTTTGTCAGAGATCCATCTGACCTCTGGGGAGGCTGTGGAGAAATATATGGTGTGCCCTGAGTTTGCAGAGATGGATGACATCAAGAGCACGATGGGCAGTTTAATGGATTAATTGCTTTTCTCCTTCCTTGCTTGTGTCCTAGGTAACCCAAAACGTTACCGCATTCCATATCCATCTGTGCCCAGAATTGTTACTCTCTCTGGAGAGCCTTATGGCTGGAAATGGAACTGCAGGGCTGTGGCATTGCCAGATCTTCCAAATGCCTGGATCTCTCAGGTATAGCTCTCTGTTGCCTCTTGGTTTTTGCTCTTTCCTTTTCGTTCTTGCAGGGAGAGAGCTGAGGCAGAGTGGGTAGAAATTCCCCTTGGTTTTCTTTCCTGAGAGGGTTGCTTCAGACTTCCAAGGAGCCACATTTTGTGGTCCTAGACTGCTTCAAAGCAAATTTCACCTGTCTACAGTCACAACGTCGCACCAAGAAAAGCGCAACAGCCCCACTCAGCATGGCTGTTCCAACCTGCCAGCAGTGTCCAGTGGAAGTGGGAAGGCACGGAATCTGAGTCACCCCTGCCAAATGCCTGCTGTTTCTCCTCATGAAAAGGTGAAGTCCCTATGTGAGTTCTAGCTGGATTGAGTTTCAGCTGCTGGAGTGCCTTTTTTGACAGAGCTGCTGCCACCAGAGAGATAGGAAGGGCAATTGTCTGGTTTTAGAATCCAGATTTTCTTTTTGTTTTGCCCATATTCTCAGCTGCTTGTTGTTCAGAGGGAGTTTTTTGTAATCATGGATGTTTGGTATCTGTGTTGTTTAGGGATTTTTTTTGCTCTGTTTTTGTTCTCTCTGTCCACAAGCATTCGAAAGAGGGGGAGGGTTTCCACTGTCTTTGTCTCTCCACATGCAATCCTTCATGGAGGGTGCCATCTTGGGCAGAGGGTTTTCTCTGCTGCTTCTAATTTCTCCTTGTTTGCAGGGAGTCTGTGGGATTTAGAAACTTTGCAACTAGTGATTATTATTGTTATTTTTGTTGTCTGTTGCTATTTCACATTTTTAGTAAAATTATTTTTCATTTAGATCTACTCATCTTCCTCTCTACTTATTGGTGGAAGGGGATTGGCTAAAAATAAATGGGAAGTTACTAGTTTTAAAGTGTCTACCCACTTAGCTTGACTTAAACCCAGACAGTTTGGCAGTTCTCAAAGATCAGGCCTGGTATGGAAAAGGACGTTAATGAAATGGGACAACCTCAGTGGTGGGCCACCAAGAATCGCAAGGAATCACTTGATTTCTCTTTAAGGATGGGCTGAGGAGAGTGGGTATGTTCAGTTTAAGGAAAGAGAGCTTCTGAGGACTTGCAGATGACCTTGTGGTACTTCAATGTAGGTCACAAAATTGAGAAATGGCTATAATTGTTTTCTCTTATGCTTGAGCAGAGAGAAAAAGCAGAGTAAAAGGGAATAAGGGAAAATGGAGCAGGACATGGATGAGCTCTGTATGGCCATGAGAAGAGTCCATGTGTAGAAGATGACTTCCAAGGAACTTAAGGACATTTCTGTGGTTTGCATGAGTGATGGGGTAAAGTGTTGAGCAAGGAGGTGTGATGCAG